CACACTCACAATCAATCAATCAATCAATCAATCAATCAATCAATCAATCAATCAATCAATATCAATCAATCAATCAAACCTTTTTTTTTTCAAGTCTTTTGTTTATTTATTTTTAAATTTTGTATCTTTATTTTTCTAAAACACCTCCTACCCCTGCAAAAAACAGAAATTCATTTCCAAAAAATACAAGTGACCTCAGGGACCATATATCTGATGATAAAAAATGACAAAAAAAAAATCCAATTTATATATATATATATATATTTAAATCGAATTTAGTTTTTGATTGTTTAAAAATCCGAAACAAAGTCGGATTCCAAAAAAGAAAATATGGGGTTGTAGGGCTTAAAATTCCCTACAACCCCATATATATATATATATATTTAGCCTATTATTTAATTCAGGAAAATTCTGGTAAAACCGGGTCCGCAGCGCGGACCAGGTAGGCCGCGGATGCGGACCCGTCTGCGTCCGCCATCCGAGATTGGACCCACGGACACGTCCGCGGGTGTTACATAGCTATTTGCAGATTTTCACAACTCCGAATTAGTTCGCATTTTGCTGCTATACCGTTACGAAATCTCGCTGTTCATCGACGACCGCGTTGTTGACATTAGTCAGAGTTAGCTCGTAATTGTTGTCACTGTTTCCACCCCGCGGGTCTGCTTCTTTCGCTTTTCCTGAACTTCGGACAATCGGGAGCACGGAGACCCTGAAACGAAGTGTGAATCTGTTCTCAGTTATCGGATCCCCGGTAGGCCATTTTGTTCCTCCTTTCAGAGGATGTTTCGGACTTCACTTCGTTATGAACTGGCAGAAGTGGGAGTATACTCGCAGTTGCCATTCCCGTTAGACTCACTGTGCGTCATCGTTTACATGCCACCTCGTTCTTCCTCCTACAATGCAGCACGAACTCCAACCAGACTTCGGCCCTCGCAAGTACTTCTTGCTCGTCCCACGACGTCGTTTCTCGAAACTGAATTCCCGACCTCCAAAGTCACGTCGTTATTGTCATGTGCAGTGCTCACCCTCGTTTCCTTTACTTGATCTGTCCCTTTCCACATACTCCCCCCATCCATGTGTCGTATAGTTCACGCACTCCCATCTATGTTGCACGCCCGGCCGCAGCCAAATCGGCCAGGTTCGGCCACGCCCGACCAGCCGAGTTTGGTGCAGGATTTTTTTTTCTTTCTAATGCATGAAAATATATATATATATATATATGGGCGTGTAGGGCTAAAAAACCCCTACATGCCCATATTTGTTTTGGGGGCATTGTTCTTTTCTATTGCGTAAAAAAAAAAAAAAAAAAAAAAAAAAAAAAAAAAAAAAAA